ATCAATATATAAAGGATAAATCAAAATTTATTGGTTTAGAACTTTTATCAAACACCTAATGGCATAGAAGTCCATCCCTAGCCTTAGCTAAGAATTTAGCTACTAATGCTCATATTAATTACAAAAGTGTAACTAAGAACAAGGAAATATAATAACATACAAGAAAACTTACCTAGAACCAATTGTAGAGGAGAAGAAAAAGGCTTCTTCTCAAGAACTTGAAGAACAATAGCAAGAATAAAATATAAAAACTAGGAATTAATCTATGGAATGGAATATGTTTGTATGATGAATTGAGGGCTTTATATAGGATAAAGATTGGCATCTTTTAGTCTATTCGAGCCCAACAATCTGGTGTGGAGCAATATTTGATCAACAAATGAGGAAGATGGAGTTTTCCCATCAAGAATCCTCTTGCACGTTGCTGTGTTTTAGCTGAATCCGACCAACCCGGCGCCGGTTTCAGGCCTATCCGGTGCCGGTTATGTGTTATTCGCAGAGTACCTGGAAATTTGGGGTACCCGGCGCCGGGCCTAAGGCTTAACCGGCGCCGGGTAAGCTACTGGTTTGCGGTTACATGTGCGAAAATCATCAGACCGGCGCCGGTTTTGTCCTGGGATTGTGGGGATGTTCCGCTATGAATTTGGAAATGATTCCTTCACCAAAGTTGTAGATAATGAAGTCTTATATCCACCAAAACTTGAATGACGTGATTTTATTTATCCAATCAACATATATGGATAAAACACTGAGAGGTATGCATCCTGAAATCCCACCAGCAACATCTGACTTTATCGGTTAATTCAGTATTGTTCCTTTCCTATTCTGGCCATGATGTCTTCATAACATTTGTACCTCATTGAGTTACCATTCACATGAAATTCGAATAGAGTGATTTTGAGTTTTCTACAATACTTAATACTCAAATTATGGGCGAAACATCATCCTTTTAGTCCCCAAAGCCGTTCATCACAATGTTTTATGCTTTAGGTCTCATTTTGAAGGTATTTTCCCAATTTCTTTTATTTTCTTCAACAAATACTTATAAATACTTATGTTGAACACAAGTAAATATAACGGCTATCAGCACTGCTCTACTCCTTTTCACCACATTACATGTGCCTCAAGGAGTGGTGGACTGGAGAACCCCTTCGGGGAAATCGCAAAATGTTTTATCAACATGATCCTTCATTCCCAAAATGTGGGGGACTGAGGGACTGCCCTCGGCAAAACACGCAACACAAGCCTCTCACTACTTTACAAACTACAAAACAAACGTCAGCACCAGAGGACAAGCACAAACTACTCATTTTCCCTCAAGTACCTTTCGGCAAAAGGAGTGAGGGACTCCTGATGGAGTATATGGACCACGGACCCCCGATCCACAGACTCCTACTACTCTAACACAGGCCCAACGGGCCCAAGAAGCACAGGAGGCACAAAGAACAGTGACCCAAATATCGAGAAGCCCGCGGTGCACATATGAGTGCCTTCGGCCACACGGCCGAAGGCCCCAAAAACTCACAGGACAGCTAATTTTACGCATAGAAACCTACTCGGAGAAAACGGCAGAAGTCAGGAGCCTTCGACTCATGCATGCCTTCGGTACTTGGGTAGCCTTCGGCCACACAAAGCCCCCGGACACAGGGGAGCCTTCGGGTACAACACAAACATCGAAGATTCCCTTTGGAGACAAGCAACAGCCGCATTTAATGCGGCGTCACATCCACCCACCGCATTTAATGCGGTGCACATGCGCATGCCGGTGCCATCCCGATTGAGGTGACCCCTCGACTAATAACCCCTCGGATAAACTACCACACGGGTACACCATCCATCAAGAACAAAATAAAAATAATAAATTTATATCTAATGATTCTAAATTGAAGTGAGCAACTTCGAATAAATTATATCTACCTCGTAAAATAGTCTAACTTTTGTCTTAACTCATGAATACTAGTATTAATTATCAAAATAGGACTAAAAGTCACTCACTTTGCACAAATAGGAACAAAAAAAACTACGTTTTCATAGGACTAATTATGTGTGTCTTGGACAAATATACCCTTATAGCTATTGAAATGTTTTAATTCATAATAAAATAATAATAAAAATAAAAATCATAAAAAATACTAAAAAATTTATAAAACTATTTCGATAACAATAATTTATTTATTTATTTTCAAAAACTAAAAAAAAATAAAAAAAATCAAAAAAATAAAATAAAATTCACCGCCGCCTCTGCACCACCACCTCCAGTCACCAGGGGAAAAATTGCCAAGTCCATTACGAATGCCATATTTATGACAGAAAATAATGAAAATGTTGGCATTCTCAAAGAGAAATATGCCATGTTTTTGGCATTTTCAGAAAAATGGCAGTTTTTAGGGAAAATGGCATTTTTTCACCGACCAAAGATGGTGGTGCAGGGATGTAGTACAGGCGGTGGGAAAGACATCCATATTTTTTTAATTTTTTTATGGAGTTTTACTATTTTTTATTAATTTTTTAAAAAAATAAAAAATTAAAAAATTATGTTTTTTTTTAATTTTTTATTTTATAAATATTTTATAAATTTTTTAATTGTTTTTCTAGGAATTTTTGAATTTTTTTCGAATTTATTATGAAATAAACATTTAATTACCTCATATTTAAATGAAGGGTAAGAATGGAATGAAAAAATAGGTATGTTTCCAATAGGACTAATATGGTCTTATTTTGAAAAGAAAAACATAGTAAATCCTATTTTGAAAAGAACATCAAAATGCACTTTGTTAAAAATATTATCATAAAAGTATAAAATTTACAATTCCCACAAAATATATTAGTTAAAACGATTGATCAAAGTTTACTATCATTGACTAAAAAAGTCAAAGATGACTAACTAAATAGGGACATAGGTAGCATCATTTTGTAATCGTGTTGTTGGTGTAATATAGCCTCCTATTGATTTTATACTAGTGTGTGTTTTTACTCTGATCTCTGATGACTAGATCCACCATTGTGTGTTTGATAAAAAAAATGACAAATAAGGTTGTAAAACTAAAAATAAGAGTTATCATTATTCACATATTTATATGCTCTCACAATGTGTTGGCTAATTAGTGCACATCTAATTTGAAATACTACCTTCCTTTCTTTTTAATTGCAACATGATGAGCCTTACATTATTCACAAGTTTCACATTGAGTTTTATTTATTTATTAGTATATGAGACTTTGTTCTTTTGAAAATAATTATATTTGTCTCATTTCAAATTTTTAATATCTAATTATTTTAACTAACTGGGAATTAAATGTATTGACGATCAAAGTTGTGCATTAACAATTGTTAAACTGACAATATTACAATTAAAAGAAATGTAGAAAGTATGTGTACTAGAGTACTAGTATAGTAATACATCCATCTCACTAATACTGGAACAAAAAGATGTGACACAATTATAAAGAACGGTAGATTTATGTGGTTGATATTGAATTGATAAAGTAAGAATAATGTAATAATAATTTAGAACCACGTAAAATTATCAAATTTAGCATGAGTTTAGCGGTCAATCTACATTTGTGATGACTTGACAAACTACACATGTGATGATTTGACAAACGCTCCATGCATCTAAAGAGAAAATGAGTCATCTAAGGAGTTTTATATAATACTCCAAGACTTTATATGTGAGTAACTGAGTATGCATCTTTATCTCCACGTACTATTAGTTTTAGGAAAATTATAGATAAGAATAATCCCAACTAGTACATGTCTACTTAAAATAAAGCCAAGTATTAGCAATTTCAAAATAATCTTTTTTATTTAGTGAATAAGCCTCTCTAAATACTCGTATTCCTTGGCAATCAGATTCTCAGTGGTTCACTTTTAAATTCTATCAGACCAAAGCCTTTTTAATGAATTCCATCCGACCTTTCAATTATTGGTCATCAACACACTTACACACCCAGCACCAAAAATATTGATGCACGGATAGGCTTGGACTCGGGCCGGTTCAGGCCCGGCCCGGGCCTCCGGGTTATTACAAGTGGGCCCGGGACTGGACCGGGTAGCCACCGGGTCCGGTCCGACCGGGCCTCCTTTTAATTTTTTTTTTCCTTTTCCTAATTAACCCCCCTCCTACCCCCAATCCCCCAAACCACTCCAAATGGCCCAAAATACCCAGCCCAACCCGAAAAGTTTAAAAAAATGAAAAAAAAAATAAAAAGCCCGGTACCGGGCCCGAACCGGCCGGGCCGGTTCAGCTTTTGGGTGAGCCGAGCCCGCACCGGGAACCCCCAGGACCAGGCCTACCCGGACCGGTCACTGGCCGGGCCACCGGGCTGGGCCGGTTCAGCACAGTACCGGTCCCGGGACGGTTCCGGGTCGGGCCACCCGGCCCGAGTCCAAGCCTATGCATGGAGGGATGTTCACGCAATCAACAGAAAAGAAAAAATATTGATATCGATGAAGGAGCACATTCAAATATTTCCATTTTATTACTATCTTAGATCAAATATTGGGAGGGGGGAGCAATACTTAACAGTATTCTTATCAAATTTTCCTTAGTTTTGGATCTTAAATTTGTTCAAAGATAGAACGTATAAACACACTTTTTCACGTGTAATGCTTATCTAACGATTACAACAATTCATCCTAATGAGTTTGAAACTTTGAACAAAAATTTGGTCATTGGGGTGCAGCCTGCCATTTCAGGCCTAAGCCCAGAATGAGGTTTAAAAGATCACTTGTAGTCTTATATAAGTACTGTACTATTATGTCAATTCCACATTTGGTCTATGTGCTTGATTTTGATCATTTCTGTGCATGTTTGTTATTTTTCCCCTGCATTCAATGTCCTTCAGTCCAAATTTCAAGCACCTCTCTCGCAGGTTTTAAGCACCTCAAATGAAGATAGCACTAAATGCAGGCAAAAACATGGCAGCCCCACAAAGTAGGATCTGTATAATACTGGTGAGCCCAAAAATGAAACTTATTCTTTTCACAACAACCAATGCGGAGAAAGACTCTTGTATAACACTGGTGAGACAAAAAATGAAACTTATTCTTTTCTCAACAACCAAACTGTGTAAACGCACTGGAAATGTAGGAAATATGCAAGAAGAGGGGTCAAACCTTGCATATCCAAAATACAAGTCATATAAATGGACAAACAGTGAAACAGCCATGTAAGATGGATAAAAGCAGCATTGTTCACTTTTCAAGCAAATATTACAAAATTAGTTATGCGATTATAAGTTACAACTCAGTGAAAATCAGATGACTTTCTTGTATATTCTCATCCGTTCTGTGTTTGAGAAATACCTGCTTCCAAGTAAATTATGATAAGGTGCCTCAATTGATCAATGTTCGACTATTTTTAGTTCATCCAGCCATCAAGAAGCTCTCTTAGGAAGAGCCATATTACGAATTAGAGGTACGGTTGTAGCAACTGAGAATATCTGTGCCAAAAATCCTGCACACACACAAAAGGTGTGTTTCAGTCATTACAATGGGCACTTGAGCATTTCAGGAAATTCAGGCAACAAGATTCAAGAATTAAATCTTCAGATCGAAGAGCTCACCAAGTATAATAGCACCAATCTTCAGGACTTCAATATTTGGAGGCAGCAAGCTATTGAAATTTTGAAGAACCTAAAAGCGAGATATAATAGAAAAGAGGATTCTAATATCTCCAGTCCAATAGTAGTACGTAAACTTTTATGACAACTGCTGTGCATAACTTCGTATCCGTGTAGCACAGATATGCAGACACGCAGACACAAATATGATGGCATGACAATCAAAGAAAATATAGACCACAGGTATCGGTGTATTTGTAAATCTTAAAAATTGACTGACTTGCAAATGTATGTTTTTCTGGGAAAAAGAGTATGAAAATTATTCTCTAAATTGTGTAATCGTTCTAATTTTTACAAAATAAATAATGGATAGTCTCAATAAATAATTATTACTTAAATTATCAATTACTATTTGGTTTGTTCCTGAAGGTTTTATCTAACATGTAATTTCAAAATATACAAACATCTATCAATAAGGAGTTCTATTTAGGACCGTTTACTCTTTCTTTTGTTAAGTCCAGGATTATTAAGATTTTTGTCTGGATGAAGTGATCTTTATATATGAGAATGTTTAGTTTGTGTGCTGAATAAACAATGTAAATTGATTCAACCACTTCTATCACTAATAAGCACAAAAAGCACAACGATGACTGGTCAGCAAGTTATTTTCCATTTTTCAAACTAGGTTTAGCATAGCCCCAAACATTGGATGATTCAAACCACTTCTATCACTAATGATCTTTATTGTTAATGTCCTTGGCTCAGTTCCAGGTAAAATAAACCATATCCTTCATCTTCATCCATGGTTTACTGCTTTGATTGGACTATCTTTTAGTTTTATATTTTTTATCTGTTTGTTTTAAAGTTCTGTTGCACACGTACAACAGTACAAGAATATCTTCTTTCCGTTTTTTACATATATAAGTTGGTATAATACTCCAAATCAAAACGAAAAAAATTAAACTTGTAAGCTTAAAGGTTTGAATTTTAATTTATTTTCTTCTTTCTAAGCTATAAGTTGGTATGTCTTCTTTTTTTATCTTTTTTATATTACCTTATCTTTTTATCTTTCTTGTCTTTCTTTTCGTTTTGGCTCTGATATCATGTATCAATTCATTTTAGCCGACCCCGAAATCTTTTGAGACTAACTGACTAAGGCTTGGTTCTTCTTCTTCTTCTTAGGTATGTATCATGTGACTGTACATATGTTTGTGTGAGGTGGTAACTTTCCTAGCAGTTCGCAAAATCTCAAGGTTGGGTCCTACTATAACTTATCTTCCACTTTTTACCTCACAAATTCAGGTAATATAATTTTTTCAAGAATGTATTTATTTGCCACAACTACTTCAGTTCTTCCATTTTGATCATATGCTGGTGTCTTTTTCCATCTGTTGGACTGATCATTATGATTTATTAAATTTTTTTCTTCTCAAAAGAAAAGTTTGTTAGTTTTTCAATAGTATTTCTTGTTTATTATGTAGAATGATCCTTATGGAATGAATTAATTGTGTGGCTAGATGAATGTGTCAATCACAAATCTAAGATTTAAAATTGATGATAAAAGAAAAAGATTTCATTCAGAATTTGTCAATGAGGGTGATGCAGAAGATTATGAACTCTATGATGATTGTACTGACGAGTGATGTTTTAAATTTTGATTAAAAAAGAAGTGCATTTTGACATGGAGGATGATGATTGATGAGTAGTGATATTTTGACACGGAGCAGTAAACAATCACATATATTTACCTCCAAAGGATTCTGGCTCATGGCAAAACATGTAGCAGGAAATAGCACAGCTACTGATGATCCGAACACATACAACTTTAAAAAGTTTGATCTGCTACGCTTTCGACCTTCAGCACACAAAAAAAAACTTATGGAAATGAAAACTGTACAAGCATTATGCCTATATCTATGAAGGGCAAGCATAGAAGAATAATAAATTATATAAACCTAATTCTCCAATTATAAGAGAGACAAAGCCTATTGCAGCAGAGCAGAAAGCACATCTTTCAAATGTCTGTGTCTTCACTGCTACAAAAAATGAGAGTGCTGATATTATCAAATGAACAACTGCCTGCAACAAAGAGTGCGCTATAAACACATTATTATAATCCTGAAGACACTCAAAATTCAAAAATGTACCAACTTAGCCAATAAAATACACAAGTGCAGTAATTGCCAATAAGAGAGAGCAAACGAAATCTAAGCAGTTATATCTGCATATACCTGAATGAATATTATCTTCGAAAGTTGAGATTTTCCTTTAGCAACTTTTTGGTACCCTAATTACAAAAATGAAATAACTCATTGCGGAATAAGAAATATAGGAACAAAAGAGAAAGATAGTGGTCAGATCACGAAACTCTATCAGAAGCAAAATTAAACGGGAAGAAGCAAACCTACTTGAGTCTACCACCATTCGGAATGAGTAGTCGGAGCCATCGGTTCCGGACGGCCGCCCACTAGCCGTCGATGTCCTCTGGTGCATGCCTTTATTTCGCGGCCTACTGCTACGAGTATCGAACACTACAGATATGATCACAGCTTATGATAATTGCTGAATCTCTTTAGTTCCTTCGACGTCCAGCTGCGGTTACCTATTAAACGGCCGGTTTTCGAACACAAAATACGGTAGTACCCAACCCAAGTAAGAAATGGTTTATTTCTTTGTTGTATTTTCTTAACTAGGTAGTTATAGTATTTCTTGTGTTTTACTAAATGCTAATATGTTAATATTCTTACAGCATATTCAATAATAATAATAATAATAATAATAATAATAATAATAATAATAATAATAATAATAATAATAATAATAATAATAATAATAATAATAATAATAATAATAATAATAATAATAATAATAATAATAATAATAATAATAATAATAATAATAATAATAATAATAATAATAATAATAATAATAATAACAATAATAATAATAATAATAACAATAATAATAATATCAATAATAATAATAACAATAATAATAACAATAATAATAATATCAATAATAATAATAACAATAATAATAATAATATACTTCGTACTACGTAATTATTATTATTATTATTATTATTTATTATTATTACTACTACTACTATTACTACTACTCTTACTACTCTCTCCGTTCCACTCACTTTCTATTTCTAAGAAAAATTAACTCTTAAATAACAATTTAACTATCAATGTTAAAAAAACATATCTTTAATATCACAGTTATCATCAATCACATATTATATTACATACTCATCACAGCTATTTATCAAAACATACTCGGATTATCATGTTTAATTATTGATTAAATAATAGTGCTATTTTATAATGGGAACCTTTAACGGGACGAGCGGACGACGACATTATTATTATTATTATTATTATTATTATTATTATTATAATTATAATTATAGTAGTGGTAGATGTTGTCGAACTATTAACAAAATAGCAATTATAATAATTATTGGTTACTACTCATAAATTACTACAAGTTAGAATGCTTTTTATTACAATAATTAGTAAAGTATACACAATTTAATAATAATCATGTTTAAAATGTTACGGAGTAGTTGGTATTAGATGGTTTCACATGTTCACGGTGGCAAGGGCGGAGCCAGGACACTATAAAGGGCTGGGCCGGAATTGAACTAAAAAAATTCTTAAATATAAGTGTAGTAATAAAATTAAGTTCAAGTGCATCACAAATGTTTTTACAACAAAACTACTAGAAATTTAGTGCATCAAACAATCAAACTAAAAAGTCAATTGCACTCTACGGTCTTTTACTTTAGCAAACTCATCGATAAGAGAGTCAATATCTATCGTACTGACAAGTTCCCTCTCAATGAAGATTGTCAAACTATCAGCAAGAAATTCATCAGCCATTTTGTTGCGAATTGCCGTCTTGACATGTTTCATTGCTGAAAATGCTCTCTCGGTTGTAGCCGTGGAAACCGGTAATGTTAACACAAGACGTATCAATCTTGTCAACATTTTGAAATCGTCTGCCTTTCTTGTTTTCACCAACATTTCACATAAATGCGAAAGAGTAGGAACTTGGAATTGAGAGTTCTGAGCCACATGAATATGATAAAATGTCAGTTCAGTCTTTAAAGCATTTCTCTCGTGTTGCTCAAAATCATCAGGATAAAACTCCACTGCAAGATTATAAATATGATCAGCATTAAATGATTCAAAGGAGTTTCTCGGATCCAATGCCACACTGAGCTCAAGTAGTCTAACTGATTTCTCACAAAATCTTGAATTCAACTCCGCCACTTGATAATCTATGGATTGGGTAAAATATTCAAAGCGGTAATAATGTTCAAGATCTACCTCACTCCGCCCACGCCGCATTTTGGTCTTCATGTCTGGGATAGTGATGTTATGTTTTAAACAAAACTCTTCCACTTGTTTCAACAGATTATCCCATCCATCATCCCTTAGACTTTGAAGAAGGGTTTTGGATGTTGAAACATACCCTATTGCTGATAAAATGTCCACTGACTCCTTTTGAAATGCTTGACAAAGAAAATCAGTTATAGCCATAATAGCTTTCATTACGTGCAAGCCAAAGACAAAATTAAAACTCTTCAAGCTAGTGCAAGCTCCATCTGCTTCGTTTCGAGCCTTAGGGTTCGGCCCATCACAAGCAATATTCTCAAGTACCTTACAAGTAGCATTGTACAATTCTATCATACTAAGAACAGAATCATAATGAGAGCTCCAACGAGTTGTACCTGAACGTTGTAAAGAGGACATTTGATTGGCTCCTCGTCCAGATTCACGCTCCCCACTTGCCAACAGAATGTCAATTTCTTCTCTATGAGTAACTTGTAATTCTGTGTTGCGCTTAGCAGAAGATTTGACAATGTTAATCACTTTATCCAAAATGGAAAAAAATCTCCAAATAGGATCACACTGTTTTGCTGAAGCCACCAATGTCAATTGCAACCTGTGAGCAAAACAATGCACATAGTATGCATAAGGACAATCATTCAGAAATAGTGCTTGCAATACGTTCCATTGTCCACGCATATTACTAGCACCGTCATATCCCTGGCCTCGTAACTTATGGACTTGAAGATTGTAATGAGAAAGAACATCACATATCTCATGCTTAAGTGTTTCTAAAGAAGTTTCAGCAACGCCTTTAATAGCAAAAAAACGTTCTGTTAAAATACCAGCAACATTCACAAATCTCAAAATTATGGCCATTTGCTCCCGGTCAGATTCATCCTTTGCTTCATCAACAAGAAGACAAAAACACGAATCTCCTATTTCTTCACGTATCATACGGCGAACTCTATTAGCCATTAAAGATAAAATTTCTTTCTGGATATCAGGTGAAGTGTATTTGGCATTTTTGGGAGCATTACCCAATACAACATCTCTGACTTCTTCATTCCACTTTGCTGTGTAAGTAATCAGTTCTATCATATTTCCACGGTTCAAAGATTTTTCAGACTCGTCATGACCTCTAAAAGCACAACCCTGTAACGCTAGCCACTGCACAGTCATGATTGATGTCTTTAATCTTAAACGGTTTTTCAAAACTTCTTCTTTGCTAACTCTCTCAATCACTTTATCAATATGCTGAGCTGGAGTCATTAGGGAAGTAGCATACGTCACACATTTATTATGATAAGAATAAGGTGATGTACCTGTGTGAAGAAAAAATACACATTCTTTGCCTTGATGAACTCTTTTCCAGCTATCAAATCCAATATGGACTAATGCAGAGGTATTGGAGGCATGGATGTTATCACAAAATAGAAAGCACGGAAAGCAATATGCTTTGTGCGTTGTCGGAGAATATTCCAACCAATTAAATTCATTGAACCAATTTGGTTGAAAACGTCGAATTTTGTCTTTATATTCTCGACCTTGATAGCGCTGAAGTTTTGGTTGGTAAGGCCCAGCAACCAAATATAACCGCCTAACTTCATCTCTATTATTAACAGGCCAATCACATATTTTTCTTCTTTTACCAGGATCCCGTTCTATTTCAATCACAGAAGAAGATGCTTGATTTTGAACATTAGAAGATTCTTCATGCTCATTCGAAATCGGGTTCTCAGTTTGTACACTTGTAGTTGGAGCATTGAAGGTAAAATAAGAATGCAGAGTTGATTTGCCTACTTTGGCTTTCTTGGGAGGTTGTTGTGGAGTGGTCATTATTTTCTATAACGTCAAAATATGTAATACTTTAGTAAATAATAGCTAGTAAATTACGAATTACTGATTTAGGAACACAATTAACAATTTACTAATAAACAATATCCCAATTCCCAAATCCAACTAATTACAAATTAGTAACTACGAACTAATTAAAAATTAGTAAATTATTATTTTTTATATAAGAGCCCAATTCAGTCATAAATCATACATTCATACGGAGGTAGTTACTGCCTTACTGGTAGAAATTCACAAATAGCCATTCACAAATACACAATAGCCCAAATAAGGAACTAATTACAAATTAGTAATTTATTAATATAAGAAATTAGGGTAAGAAAAATACCTAAAAATTGCAGATTTTGCGCGGAGAAGGCGGAGAGCAGGCGGAATCCCAGTTGCCTAGACGGAAGACGGCGGTCGTAGTCCCAGCGCCAGCGGAATCCCAGGCGAATTCCTTCTTCTCTGCCTCTCTGGACAGCCGCTTTTCAGCCGTAGTCCCTGGCCGATTAAACGCAGGTTACGCAGGCACGCAGCACTTCTTCGGTTCTTCCAGTTGGCCGGTTGGTTATTTGGATTTTGGGCTGGAGGTTTTAATGATACTGGGCCAATTTTTTTATACACTGGGCCATTACTTAAAAATATTTTTTTTTTACTATTCCTAATGGAGACTAGGCCGACTTGCACTGGGCCATGGCCCAGGGTGCCCCCCCCCCCCCCCCTCCTCCGCCAATGCACGGTGGGGATAAGGCCAAACTGGTGCAATATAAAGTACCTCCGATCCCACTAACATTTGAACATAAACAAGTGATGCGGTTATTAAGAAAAATGAATTTATGTGGTTGTTATTGAATTGATAATGTAAGAATAAAGTAAAAATGATTTAGAATTATACAAACTTTACCAAATTTACTATGAGGCAATTTTAGTGGAACGGACTAAAAAAGAAATAATGTACAATCTAAGCGGGACGGAGGGAGTATTTATTAGTTTTAGGCAGATAGATGGTTCTCAATAGTTGCTTATCTACTTTAGAATTCCCAATCAATTAAATTGAAACTCACTTTCAGAAGAAACGTGGAAGATGATATGTTAACAACGCTTAGTTTATGTCTTTAGAAAATGCAGGCTTAAGCTAGATTTAAGATTTTAAGAAATAAATAGTCATGGTTATTGATCTAAACAATTAAACCAAACGAAATGAATATTGAGGGTAAGTGGTATACTGACATGATTAGAGAAAGAACTGTCCACAGCATGTGCTTAAGTAATTGATAATAACCAAAATGAAAGAATAAACCATGGAATTCAATAAGCATAGATAATGGTTTATGAGTAGGAACTTACTGCCCTTTCACTAAGAACATTTTGGTACACATTACTAGGCTTTAAACATGACATTGTTTGCAAACTTGACAAGAGTACTCCTATTTTGGGAATAAAAACATGAAAGTCCTATTTTGAAATTTTAAAGCGTCTTTACTCCTATTTAGGGCAATTTCTTAAAAACATTATGATACGCTGCACAAACAATTCCATACGGAGCAGTCAACACTCATGCGCACTATCAATTCAACGCAAATAGTGAACTGGGGTTATGTTAATTTTTCAAATGTTATGTACCATTTTCAAATTCAATAAGACTTGGGTTTAGAATTGTAGTATTGTTTAGTTGAATGTTTTCAATAGGCCTGAAAGAAGGAAAATGAGTGTAGATCAATACAGCAGCGGTAATGCACTCCAATGCGAAAGTGACTAATACGGAGTACTGAACAATGCATTTACTATCGATCTTTTACTTATTCTGGGTCCTACCGTCCTCCTAAACGGGAGTAAAAAGTTTGACTGAATGACGGCATTAGCTGAAATGATGGAAAGACCAGAATTATCCGCACGGGTAGCTCAACTGGTAAATCGGTGGGAAAATTGGACAAATGACCAAGAATCGAAACCCACAGCGATCGTGTGAAGATCACAGGTCCTATAAGTTTGGTTGGACCTCTGGTGCGCACGGGTATAAGATCTATCACCGTTATGATTGTTTGAGTCACCGTGATTTACAACCTCTCATGTGTTTTGTCGGATCAGGACATGGGGGAGCTTTGGGGTTGGGGATTCAACCTTTTGGACAAACAGAAAGACCAGAATTGTTTAAAACAATTGAAGATGAAATTTTGAAAGAATCAAGGAGAAGAATAACCCCAGTGTGATTTCCTTCTACGTAAGTCATTCTAACTAAAAAGAAAGTAATTTCTGCACTGGTATTAGGGTTGGACTCGGGTCAGGCCGGGTCGGGCCTGCGGATCTGAAGAGGTGGAACCGGGACCGGCCCGGGTAGCCACCGGATCCGGTCTGGGCCTCGGGCTTGGTTAATTTTTTTTTTGCTTACCTGCCTATCCCTGACCCCCCCCCCCCCCTCACCCACCACCCCCCAAACTGGTCCTAAACATCAAGCCCAACCCAGTTGGAACCCAAACAAATGGAAAAAAATCAAGTTGGCCCGAACCGGGCCCAGATCCGACCGGGCAGGGCCTTGTTTTGGGTGACCCGAGCCCGGACCGGACCACCCTCGGGTCGGGCCTACCCGGATCGGTCACTGACCGGGACACCGGATCAGGCCAGGCCGGAACAGTCTGATCCCGGGCCAGTTCCGGGTCGGGCCACCGGGCCTGAGTCCAAGCCTAACTGCCTAACTAATATACTTATTACGGAGTATGTGCTAATCTCAAGTCTCAACCATCCCAATCAAATAGTTTAGATTTTAGTAAAACACCTAGGCTTGGACTCGAGCCGGGTGGCCCAACCCAATGGCCAAGCCAACGACCGGTCCGGGTGGGCCCAGCCCGGGGGGTTTCCGGTGCGGGCTTGGGTCACCCAAAAGCCGAACCGGCCCGGCCAGTTCGGGCCCGGTTCCGAGTTTTTTTAATTTTTTTTCAATTTTTTTTAACTTTTCAGGTTGGGCTGGGTATTTTGGGTCATTTGAAGTGGTTTGGGGGGTTGGGGGTAGGAGGGGGTTAATTAGGAAAAGGAAAAAAAATAAAAAGACGCCCGGCCCAGACCCGGACCGGACCCGGTGGCTACCCGGGCCCGAACCCGGACAAGACCCAGTGGCTACCCGGACCCGGACCAGACCCGGTGGCTACCCGGGCTTGTCTCGGGCCCACCTATAATAACCCGGAGGCCCGATTTGGCCTAGGCCCAGCCCGGGCTCAAACCATCCTGAGTCCAAGTCTAAAAACACCTGATGTAGTGTCAAAGTGTGTGGAAAAACGATATACCGAAGTCCGAACCAATTAATTTTTGTCAAGTAATATTAGATCATAAAAAGTTCTAAACAAACAGAACTTATCAATGATAAGGCATTAAGGTGTGTTAGGGTGTGCAATTTGAACACATCTTTTACTGTTCAAAGCACTCATTTGAGAGGTTATACAACTATTATTACATTTTGAGAAATTTGCTCCTAGTAGGACCAAATCATAGTTCGTTTACAAAAATAAAACCTGCTAATGTTTTTTCCATTCATATTACTTATTTATTTCTAGATTAGGAAACCTATTTCTAACTTTCCAAATTTGCCCTTCAAGCCAAAAAACTTCCGTCGTTGCCAGACGTGCCCTTCTTCCGCAGGAAGCCCATCCTCCATGTTGCCGTTTCCAGACACTGCCGCCGTTGTCGGACCTCGTCGTTGTCCTTGCTAGACGCCGCTGCCGGTGCCAGAGAAGGACATGGGGAAAGAACAAGGGCGGGGAAGGAGAGCAGGGGAGGAGGGCTAGGGACAAGGGAGTAGGGATGGGGGCTGGATGTTGGGGGTGAGGGCAGGGCAGTGGTGGACTCGGGCCGGGCCAACCGGCCCGGAACCGGACCGGCCCGCTACTGTGCGGGCCCGGACCGGTCCGATGAATCGATTGGTTGGCCGGTTCGAGCCACCCGGCCCGGGGGATGGCGGTTCAGGCTCGGGCCCTTGAAAAGGTGAACCGGCCTGGCCGGTTCGGGCCCGGGTCGGGCCATTTTTTTTTTTTTTTGATTTTTTTTTAAGTTTTTGGGTTCGGCTGGGTATTTTGGGCCATTTGAGGTGGTTAGGGTTGGTTTGAGGGTGAGGGGGAGGGTTGGGGTTAACTAGGAAAAGCCAAAAAAAATAGAACCGAGGCCCTGCCCGGACCCGGGGTTACCCGGGCCGGTTCCGGGCCTCCCCTTCATGAACCGAGGCCCGGCCGAGCCCAGGCTCGAACCGGTCCATCCCTGTGGCAGGGTGGCTAGATGTTGGGGGTGAGGGTGGGTGGCTGGTGGTGGCGTGGTGCTAACTAGCGTTGACCACCGGGGATAGCTCTGTCACTGTGACACTGGCGGCATGGATGATGGATGAAAGGGTAAGGGGCAGTTTATTGTCTACTTATTGTCTATTTATTATCTATTTAATGCCTGATATTTCCTAAAGGTAAGGATATTGTGGTCAATGCAGGTGTATTGAGTCTTACGTGAATCTGCAATCTTAGTTTTGGAAAATTCGTACGTTTTGCTCCTATTTGTTCCTATTTGTTGAAATTTCTCAATGTAGAGTTGTAGACATATAATACGGTGTTAAAATTGTCAACTTAAACAATTCTTCCACTATCATAAAGCATAATAAAACATTATCTTGTGTTTCCAAATTGCAGTTTGACTTTTCAAGTCAAAATTCATTAACCTTCCAATAATAGCATCAACTGACCATAAGTATTTACAGGGCAGGGACTTCAGTGTGAGTCTTGCAAAGCCGAACTCTGCCTTGATATGTGTCTGGACAACATAACCTGGATAACATAACGTGGATATACACTTGTGCTCTTATGGTAAGAAAAACTACATTTCAGTGCGATCAGGGGTGCTGTCCAAAGCAGGCTGCACGTTTTTTCCATCTGAAACAGGTGATATACCTTGTTCTATGCGCTGGAAAACAGAAATAAGGTTAGGAAAACACACTTTGTCATGTCAATCAAACAGACAAACATCACCAATCAAAACATAGATAGGCCTGTATATTAGGCTATTAGCAATCTTGAATAAATGTAGATGAATTGCAGCATAACTGATATGCTAGTGATTATTCAGATTTTGGATTCCATCCTAAAACATCAACATATAGTCGGTCCTAAATGGGTTAATGTGTTCATGGTGGGAATCAAACCAATCTGGTACAATCTTTTTAATTTTAGTCGTATAGATAGCTCATGGAGCTTAATTCATCTGATGAATTTTAGAAAAGTGAATAGCCTCAAAGTTAATAACCTAGGGAAGACTGTCAAAAGGCTGCACACACAGTGTAGTGACTAAAGAGGAGGGCGTCTTACACCCTACACCAGGTGTGTGTGTTTGAATGTGTGTGACTAAACAAATTATTTCATATGCACCTTGTGTAGGGTAGACAAATCAATAAAAAGGAACTTGTATCATTTTCAACTTCTTTCTCTCTTAGCTCGTCCAAATAAAAATAAATACCAAAAAAATTAATTATCCTACTTAAAAAGGCCATGACAGAGTTATGCCTATCCGTTTTGGCATTTCCAATCAACTGATTCTAAAAGGGAGAATTCCTCAAAAGGGACTAAATCAAACTTTAATTGCCAAAATAGGATCATAAGTTCAAAATTCCCTAACTAGGAAGGACTAGCTTTCCAATTCTACCCTTCCTTTGTTTTAAAACAATTCATATTTCATTTATAAAAGTAGTAACACAATTTTATTTAAAATAAAAATGTAAAAAAATTAAAAACACGACATAAATATTAAATAAAATTAATAAAAAAAAGAAAAAATAAAAAATTATATAATAAAAATCTTAAAAAATTAAAATAAAATTAATAAAAAATGAAAAAAAAATTAAAAAAATATGCAGGCCTATGCTTCCACCTCAGCAACCTTCCAGCACCTCCAGCTCTGATCACCAGAAAAAATGCCAAAATTTTTCCGAAATGCCATATTGATGGCAGTTTTTGGGAAAGTTTTGACATTTTCAAAGAGTAAAAATGCCATCTTAATGAAATTTCCAGAGAAATGGCAGTTTTGACATCAAATGGCATTTTTTAGCCGATCAGATGTAACTTGGCTGGGCAGCAGCCGTGACTGTGGGAGAGCATTCCATATTTTTTAATATTTTTTAAGGTGTTTTATCTATTTTTTATTTATTTTTAATTTTTTAAAAAAATATAATTTGTTTTAATTTTTATTATTTTCGTATTTTTTAAAAATATTTTAGATTTTTTTTTATTTTTTACAATTTTTGTATGAGTTAAATTATTTTTTATTGTTTTTTGTGTTTATTACAAATCAAAATATGATTATCCTATTAGGTTATGGTAAGGGTATAATAGGTAGTTAGGGTATACTTTAGTCCTATTTTGGGAAGATAAATAACATAGTCCTATTTGTGCATTTAAGGATTAGTTTAGTCCTATTTGGAGTTAGTAATCACCTGCAGAAGAAAATTGTGTAGCCAATCTAGGGCTTGAGGAAACGCAGCAGCTGATATGTTCACAACAGTTAGACCCTGTAATTAGAAAATGGAGAGTTAAGATTTAAGAAGTCAATGGTCATGGTTATCGATCTAGACAAACCAAATGAAAAGGATTAAGGGGTCGAGTGGTATACTCTATGATAAAAAAACACAGCAGATGAGAGGTTGTTATTAGCAACCCAACATGTGCTTAGGTAATTGATAACACTCAAAATGAGAGGAAAATCATGGAAATCTATGTAGTAATGATGCCTATTTTATATTCTTTTGTACTTATATGAAGTAATGTTTTAAGCTATAAGTAAGAGCCCTCATTTCATAAATAGGTGGACATAATCAGCTTTCCTGAATCCTGAGTAAAGCTAGGGGCAAGAACTCTTTCCCGGGGAGTTCCTGCAGGCTCTTGGAGAGTTTTTCTTCAGACTCCTGTTCTATCTTTTCCTGTGTTTAATAATTTATGATATTTTATTTAACTTTGCTTCTTTACTTCCTATGAGAAAATAAACATATTGACATAGCTATTTACCGGTGAGAGAAAAAACAATGAAAATGAAAACTAGAAGAAAACAGCGATCCGAAGACATATTTTCAGATTTAAAACCCTCATTTGAGCATGCCTTTTTTTGTTTTAAAACCTTTTGTTTCCGAGCATAGTTTAGAGTTAGTATAAATATTAGAGTTAGTATAAATAGATGTTGAGGGTAGAATAGAAGGGAGGTTGGGAATTATCATTTGGGCTGGGGACTTGGAGAGTTGACACTCTTTAACCGCCTTTGTATTTCTCTCTATTTTCTGTAATACAACCTCTTTCATTAATACGCGCATCTCTGTTCTTCATCTTGTTTCATGAAATTCATTGTGAATTAGCTAGATCTTAACATTGGTATCAGAGCCTCGTTCCTGCCGCCTGTCAAGGCTTACTACACTAGGAACGATGGAAAATATATTGGAGATCCTGGAGCGCAACTTTGAACATTATCGCCAGGAGATGCGGAACCAACGCGAGGAGATGCGGAACTGGCGGAATGACTTTGCAGAACTGCACGAATTGATTTGGCAGCAGAATCGACGTGAGCGAGGAAGATCAAGAACTTCAAGGCGAGCAGATTCTGTCCGTTTGAAGGTTTCATCGCAGATTTCTTCGCAGGTTCTTTCATTAGATCTCAGTTCGCATCAAAGTGTGACACGATCAACGGGAGAATCTCCCAGTTCGCAGACGCGAACAGTTCCTCCAAGTTCGCCAGATTCTTTAATAGCCGATCCTTACCCTTCATTTTGGTCACCCTTAAATTCTTATTGCTCACTGTCTTCATGGCAAGCAGTTTATCTCCGTCTTTCGCAAGATTCCTCGCCAACATTTTCTTCCAGTTCGCAAGCTTCATCCGGAGCAGAAGTTTCAAGTTCTCAGATTTCTTCGCGAGCCTATTCTTCATCGCCCAGGGCAGAGAAGTTCACTGAGGGTGACAATGAAAGCGAGGAGAATTCGTCAGTGACAGTGGGACCAGAAGCTGGCGCAATTGCTCGTTTTATCAAGTATGAGCCCGTCAAGATAGACTCTGGAACCAATATTTTCAAGATTCTTCAGGCCCTCATTCCGGATCTCTTCACAGATACAGCAACCCAGTACGAGTTCATTTTCTCTGCAATTTGGGACTCCTCTAGTTCTGGACTAAGAAGAGCTGATGAGTTTGCACTTGAATATAAATTGGGTAGAATCAGCGTGGATCTGGACCCTATTATTCAGGCTGCTGTAATTGATGTCTCCCAGAGAGAATAACTCAGGGATTTATCTGTAAAACCACAAATTGTTAATGGAATGGAAGCTGAAGTAAATGTTCAACCTTATAAAATGATCTTATGCTTCAATGATCCAGAAGTGAACTGTTCCAGTTGTGGAATTTTAATGGAATCCAAGCTAGTTAATGATGTTGGAAATATAGAAATGGAGCCCTACTTGCTTGGAAAAATCTTCAAGGCTTCTTTCTCCTCACTTGAGCTAAGAAAGTTGGATTTAGATCCAGCTAGGGAAGCAAAGAGAATTCAGGAATGTTTCTCTCGAGGGCTGTTTGGAACACCATTCACGCGCAAATCAGAATTGTTTGAAGCAAACAAGAGGAACAGTTTTCTCCTAGAAAATTATTTGGAGGCTATAAGTACTGAGGCTAGAGATATTGAAGGTATAGAGCAGATCCACATGGCCCCTATATCAGTTTTCAGAAATGGTGGGAGGGGTATGATTGTGGTTGCTACTCATTCAGGAAGAATCTATGTTATATTGGAGGTTGTTTCGGATAGCATACAAAACAAAGCATCACCAGTTCTTCCTGCAATTATAGATGGCCTGGCCCATGAGAATGGCTATGTAGGGGTTGTAGCACTTGGTGTTGGCCAGGTTTTAGTGAAGCATCGTGTAACCATGCCCTTGCCTCAGCTGCTTGCTATGGAAAAAGTGATAGCAATGGTTCAGTTCATGAAGTTCAGGGTCCTGAAGTTTGGAAGATACTGGGAAGGAAGAGGCGCCAAGATGAAGAAGTTGTTCGTCAGGACTGTCTCCAATCACCCACCTTGAGGACAAGGTGGTTGTCAAAGGGGGAGTAATGATAGGGACCCACATAAAATAATAAGAAATATGGACAATATTAGAGTTAGTATAAATAGATGTTGAGGGTACAATAGAAGGGAGGTTGGGAATTATCATTTTGGCTGGGACTTGGAGAGTTGGCACTCTTTCACCGCCTTTGTATTTGTCTCTCTATTTTCTGTAATACGACCCCTTTCAGTTGTACGCACATATCTGTTCTTCGTCTTGTTTCTTGAAATTCATTGCGAATTAGCTAGATACTTAACACAGGGCGGGTTTTAAGGTATCAGGGCTTGGGGTTTTTTTCACAGCTCAAGGGGCTTACGCCTCAAATAGTTAACGTGTATGCCCTGAGGAGTTTTCCGGGGTGTAATTTCCTTTGTTCTACCTTTTTAATGGGTAGTAACTTAAGAAACGCCCAGTGTATTTTATTTTAACAATAAAAGGCCCATACATTTAACATGTGTCCATAGTCCACACTAAACCCCTAACAAGTTTCGTTTCATTTAATGTATTTATAAATCGTTAAAATGTTTGCATACTTCTGCACAAAGAAGTTTTCATACACCTGCACAAAGACTGAAAGAAGTCAACAACTTCTTACAAACACTCCATTCTTCCAGGTAACTTCTCCTCTCTTCGCTTCTACTTCATCCCTTTCAGCTTCATCCTCATCTGCTCCTCTTCTTCTACACTTTTTCTCCTTCATCTCCTTTCCCTTACTTCTCCTTCTCTCCTCTCCTTCTTGTACTGGGTTGTTGGTCATAGTTTCCTAGAACTGGTCATGGTTTTACAAAACACTGAAAGGTAGGCACCAATAAATTAAGATCCCTAACCAATGATGAGGAAAATCTTTTGGTTGATGATTTGCCATCCGATGATGAAGGGCTTGGGTTGTTATCTGTGTTTGTGTTTCAGACTTTTTCGACTTATTATGATGCATTTCTTTAGTTGTTTGTTACTATTTTAACTATTTTAAGTAATATTTGTTGGTACATTTTGAGGCTTACACCTTGCCTCTCCGGAACAAACCGCCTCAATACGTGAACTGACATTTCAAACCTTGGTTTTGAAAAAAACTTTTGGTCGAGTGTTTGACTGTTAGGATATGACTTAAATACACCTTTGCTTTATATTGATAGAGAAATTAGCAGTTTCTATAATTCTTTTGGCAAAATTATTTAATGGGAGGGGGAGATGTGTCAGAGAGCATTTAGGTAAGACACTCGAATAAAAAAGCAACTTTTAAATAATTTCTTAATTCAGTGTTTTAAGCATTTTAAGTTTTATCAAAGTGCCCTAAAAAAGCTCCACCAGACACCTAAGTGATTACTGTTGGTGTTTTGGGAGACAAAGTACTAAGCCAATGACCCCATATGTAATTCCAACAATTGTTGCTCCATAGACAAAACTACTAAGCAATGATTGTAATTCCAAACACAATGATCAGAAGGTATCAACCCCTTGCATGAAATCCATTATAATTATGGACTAGATATAATATATGACTCGGTATATGGACTATACCAAATGTGTAGAACATCATTCTACACATTTGAATAGCTATGCAATGCTAAAATCTCCATGCTTCCCATCATGTCAGAAGAGTAGCACTTGGGTACAAAGATGAAGACTACCATAGTTAAAAACAAACGCACCCGTGACTCAAACGAACACAGGTAGTCCTGAATGACTTTTAAGTTGCTCCTTAGCTTGTCTTCATCCTGAGAAGTATTTAAAGACATAAATTTAGCAATCATAGAGTAGTGAGTGCATGTGAACTCTGCCAGATCTTGGAAGCATGCAAAACTCAAATGCAACTAGAAACTGCTTCTGCTACTATAGCATAAAATAAACTCTACAAAGAGATTAAGTAGGACATCTGTGTAATTAGATATATACACCTGGAATGGGTATTTCTCTCTACTTGTACGAGTTGATATCCACTCCTCAAGCAATGCCTGCATAGCAGGATAACATAAAAGCATCAGAATGAATGAAGATGTATTAAACATGTATTTATAACACAATGGGTATCCAACAATTGTTGAATACCATACGGTTCTACCAATAAGGAACATTGTAAAAATGTACAGTCGAATATAATTGTAGATAAGTTAGAATACTCGTGTAATTAGCTGTGATTTAATCCTTCTTATTAGATAAGAAATGGTAGGTAGTCAGATCCTAATTTTTAGGATCTTATCATTGAGGTTGTTAGCATTGTACTCTACATAAGTCAGATAATTCTTTCAAACTTTCAAACATGTATGGGTATCTATTCAGTTACGTTAAAAAATGTGGTTCTACCAATAAGGAACATATAATACAATTGTACAATGTGTAAGGTACTAATATGCAGAACAAGTGAGACCCATATTTTCATAGATTAATTGATTTCCAGTTTTACTTGAGAGGATGTCATAGACACAAATCAATGGTGAGAAGAGATTTGACCGACCCCATGATCAAATTCAGCCATGTTAAGAACTATGTGGACGATAATTGGCTCAGCACCAGATTTTGCTTTCTGAAGAGAAGGTTTTTTATCACATGTTGAATCCTTAACTGCATCATCTGCATTAAGGTTGAAATCTAACGTTAAGAGAGAGAGAGAGAGAGAAAGAGAGAGAGAGAAGACGACTGTCAGTACAACAGTAAAACTGGAAGATAAAAAGGCTTGAAGAATAAGAATATCACAAACCTTTAATTTCATGAAATGAGGATTCCAAAGCACCTCTAGCCATATTTAAGTCATCAGCCACAACATTGGAAGCTACTTTCATATTTTCAGAATTATAACCTTGATTATAGCTCAAACCATCAAGTCCAGCAGAGGAATTACTGTGGTTATGAATTTCAATTTTGTCAACCACTTTCTCAGACTTTGATCCGCCCTCCCTGGATGGTGTAGCTGATGGTGATTTGTTTTCTTCATCCATCAGATATATACTGGGATCTAAATGCATTCCCTGGTATCACGATGACAATTGAAACAAGATCAGACTTGCATCTCAGTTCATATTAACCATTGGAACACATATGAGAACCATTGCACGCCCTTTATCAACTATGCAAGTCATACAATAAAAGCTTCCATCAGAAACTCACTTCGATTTACAGACATAAATATCCTATCGCGGCCTCTTTTCACCTCATGACCTTGCCAGGAAAGGACCCATCTAGTCATGCTTACAGTATTTCTAATGAGGTGGTCTTCCTAAAACCAACCTACTCTACCCTAGGATTTCCACTACATCAATTACTAAGTAGTAGCTTACCACTTACCAATATAAAGCTGGGAGTGATAGGTGACAAGGAGAATAATGCAAAAACAAAACAATCAAGGCTAAACAGAGCATAACATGAACTCTAGTGTTAACTATAGCAAAGAGATCTTAAAATATGAGACAGTTTATGACACGCTGATTACAAGAGAATTAAGTTGCATCCATTAATCAAGTATCATCATTCATTTACCCCAGTGCCGCAAAGGCTCCCACCTACGGTGGGGTAAGGGGGGGTCGGATGTACGCAGTCTTACCCCTGCACTAAAGCAGGGAGAGACTGTTTCCGGATGACCCATAGTGAAAATCGCGTCCAAAATTGCATGGACTGACTGTTGCTCCATAACAAAGAAGCGCAGACAGTTTAGTGAGCCATTTTGCTTTATTCCATCATAATCTCAAGCCAAAAAATAATGAATCTTTGGCTCCATTGCAAATGATGGAAATATCCATTAATCAAGTATCTGTGAAGAATTTTAGGTATAATAGGAAGGACTGTCAAGACACGGGGCACTATTATATTAGTCGAAATGTTGGACTCTTAAGTGTTGAATGTTAAGCTAACCTAATGAGTGTAGCCAACAATGATCACATTTAAGACAGGCCATACCGCCTAACCCTTGACCATTCATACATTAAATATATAAACCTAGGACACTTATGGATGCAATGATGCAATGTGGAAAATTCCTATCTTCGCAAGAATACATTTGACTAGCAGGAGCCAACAGCATATTAGCACTGGACAGCAAGGATTTATGGAATAAAAAATGATGGAACTGAGAATCTCTGTCTCAAATATTGGAAAGCTGTTCCGAAGAGTCATGGTGATGCAGAGCAGCCAGCTTACTCCACAACCAATACCAATTGAGAGTAAAGTGTTAAAATGTTGGAGATCTAAAGATAAGTCGTAGACTTGTTGTAGATCTAAATGGCATGGACTGGGTAAAAAAGTCATCAGGGACTTGGTGTGCAAATGGTGCATGACAAGATAGAGTGGAAGATGAAGATAAAAGAAAGGCAGGGGACCCATTTTTAATTTCCATGCCCAAAAAGTTTGGGACTTTTAAGTTGGGTCAGAGATTTCAGATTTGACAGTGCGGCTAATGTAGAATATCTGATTTAGATTTTCAAGTCACGTACATGACATGATTCCAGTTTGTGTTCGACATCAGGTTTTGGTATGTAGCAATCAAGTAACTTGGCGAACATATAATCACAATTAATACTACTTAGATGCCCATATGCCACTTAATAACTTTTACTTTGAGCCCCTCATTGCTAAGCATGGTGCGTCCAAAAGTAGAGGACTTAAGGGTCATCATAATTGGGATTAATGCTCATCGCCACAGGGTTTATTACCACAGTTTTTGAAAAAAAACATTGACAACATTGTGATTGATGCTCCCCAAGCCTCAAACTGTTATGTGAGCCACTGTACATAGCGTATCAAGTTATCAACTAATTATGAGCATAAGTTCTTTTTGAAGACCCAATGTATTGGATAGCAAACTATGTTCACTTGAAACAAACTGTCGAACTCTCCTAATGTAGGGTTCTGGTATATATGAATTATGAAGTAACAGAGTTAAAAACATATAGAGTACAGATCATTGTGAGGGAAACGAAGATACAAAGGGCAGTTAATGCATTGAGATTATACCTCAATTATTATTGGTTTTCCATCTTTCATCGCTTTGTTTAAATCACCAGCCAGACCTGCACATGCATAAACATTATATCTGCTGAGAGTGCTAACATATTCTTCAAAACCCAAATAGTTGCTTACTTGAAGTAGCCAAGCTATTACCTTTCCTAACTACTCTGCATTCTCTGCAAAATTCAGTTATTAGTTCATCTGAAGAGTTGAAATTACGTGCCCATACAGGAGTTGATGACAAAGGTGCTCTGCCATGAAATAACAAACATGATATTCTAGCTGTGAATCAGTGCAAGACTGCATGGGACCCTTGAATTATAGATAAATAGGGACTTCCATCTACATAATAATGGTAATAAAAGTGACTTCGGATTCTGAAAGCATGAATCCTGTCCATTTAGAGCATGTAAGACTATAACCAGTATTTCTCAGATGTTCACATACTCAGTTGATGTCCGCAGTAATTCGTACACCATTTCAGTCTGTCAAGAAAAAGAGGAAAAGCATAAATAAATGTCATGAGCGTGTGAATATTTGCATACCAAATGTTTGTATAAAATATTTAGACAGAATAGAGTATAACACAAGAATCAGGTTCACCTTTAAGACATTTGGCAAGTTCAGCCTCTGTGCAAGCTGGGAAGAAATTGTGGACTTTCCAACACAAGCAGTACCACATACCAGAATAACCAGAGGCACTCTTTGATGGTGAAATCTAACAACAAACAACAACAACATCAAAGCCTTAGTCCCAAAAGATATTGGGGTCGGCTAACATGAATCGATACATGATATCACAACCAAAAGGAAAAGAAGGAATAAAGATAAAAAGATAAGCTCTTATGAAAAGATAATATAAAAAAAGATGAATATATATAAAAATGATAAAATAAAAAGACTGCAAATAATGCTTATATATATAAGGATAAAAAAACTAGGAAAAAAAAGATGAGGGGAAAAGATCACTCCTTCACGTGAATACCCGCCCTCCACTTGGTTCTCTCCAAAGTCATGCCCTCATCCAACCCCAGAAGAAGCATATCACTTCGAACTCCCCTAACCCACGTCTGTTTGGGTCTTCCTCTCCCTCTCTTCCTTGCCTCTTCTCCACACATCTCAACTCGCCTAACAGGTGCATCACTCGGTCTTCTACGCACATGACCAAACCACCGTAGGCGCGACTCCCGCATCTTGTCTTCAATAGGTGCTACTCCCACCATTTGTCTGATTGTCTCATTCCTCACACGGTCCTTCCTAGTATGCCCACACATCCAACGCAGCATGCGCATCTCTGCCACACTCATCTTTTGAATGTGACATTGTTTCACCGCCCAACACTCTACGCCATACAGTAATGCAGGCCTAATTGTTGTCCTATAAAATTTACCCTTCAGTCTAGTCGGCATACCTCGGTCGCATAGAAATCCCGACGCACTCTTCCACTTCATCCACCCTGTTCTGATTCTATGGGATACATCTCCATCTAACTCACCGTCCTTCAGAATTATGGAGCCCAAGTAACGGAACATATCGCTGACTGGTATCTCCTTACCATCCAGAGTAATTCCGCTATTACCACTACTTCTACCTCCACCAAACTTGCACTCCATGTACTCTGTCTTGCTCCGACTTAGTTTGAAACCCTTATTCTCCAATGTTTGTCGCCATACTTCCAACTTTGTTTTAAGACCTGATTGCGTCTCATCAATCAATACAATATCGTCGGCAAACATCATGCACCACGGTATATCGTCTTGAATTGACTTCGTAAGTTCATCCATGACTATGGCAAATAAGAAAGGACTCAAGGCCGATCCTTGGTGCACTCCGATAGTAATAGGGAACTCTTCAGTCCTCCCTACACTAGTACGAACACTTGTAGTACAATCCTCACACAAGTGAATATTGTCACTCTTCAGTCTTTCCATTTAATAAGAAAGTTGAATTCAACAAAGCATTCTATGAGATTTCATTCTATGTTTGCATATGCTGAGCAACAAAACATAAAAATATAGCAATAGAAGAATCAGATAATGTCGCCGGATTTCCAAACAGTATATGTGTGAATTGCTGAAGCAACAAAAACAGATTTTAATGAAGACATAAAGGAGGTTGGGGGCATTTACTAACACAAAGTTTTTGACTTTTTGTGTTTCAAGAACTGAAAACGCAAAACAAGTTTACGAATTCTGTTTTCCAAATTTAGAAAACGCCAAACTCGAAAACATGTATACAAATTATGTTTTCCAATTTTAGAAAACAGAAAGCATGTTTACTTCACCAACTTCCAATTTAGAAAATAGAAAACAGTTTTCTGAAGCAAAAATACTAAATTATCACCTAGAACTACTGCGGTGATCACATTTTCCACCATCGATAATCCCTACAACAATAACTGACATCTCACAATCGTTATTAGTGACCCACCCCACCCTATCCTACCACATCCCTACCCCACTTTACCCGGGACTTCATGACCCAAACCAACTCCAACACAGCTTCTATGAATACCATCATTCACCATTGTTACTATCATTAATTATATATATTGTTGATAACCAAACACTAATAAAGAGCATTGAATCTATTTATATATTGGTATATACCAATTTCATACATGAATTTTAGTATACCAAAATTAGACATGCAATGATGCAACTTCTTGTCGTCTTGTCGATATGTCATATTTTTTAGGTTACCAAAGTTTGTAAAAACAATTGCATTACCCTTTTCCATCATTTCCGATGGAGCCAAAGATTCACTATATTTTGGCTTGGGAATGTGATGGAATAAAGCAAAATGGCTCTCTAAACTGTCTGCGCTTCTTTGTTATGAAGCAACTGTCAGTCCATGCAAATTTTGGCACGATTTTCATCATTGGTCATCCGGAAACAGTCTCTCTGTGATTTAGTACAGGGGTAAGGCTGCGTTTATTCGACCCCCCTACCCCACTGTAGGTGGTAGCCTTTGTGGCACTAGGGTAATGTTGTTTCTGTTGTACCAAAGTTTGTAAAAGTACTTTTAACACTTCTTGTATGGTATTGCAATGAGTTGTTAAAAAAATAAAACTTTCATTGTGATGATGTATGAATTTAAAAGTTCTGTACACTGATGAATCAACCATCCATATCATTTATTCACTGACCACTGGTAGTAACCATTGTTGCAATAAACATTAATGACATGGCACTGCCGAACACTATCACCATCATCGATCATTGTAGACTCTACATGTCGTCCCGACATCATATACTACCTCGGTTCTTAAATAGATGCAACATATTGAATTCTACACCATTCATATACTCTGATTTGACAACATTTTATTTAGTAATGTATTAGAAATATAAGTTTTGAAAAATAGTGTTAAATCCTCTCGATTAAATTTTCAAAATCTGAATTTTTTTAATTTTTTACTAATGTCAAAGTTGTGCATTGCCAAATGTGAAAATGGAAATGCTAAAACTAAAAAGAACGGAGGAAGTATGTGATACTGGATATATGTGTTGGTAAGAACATTTTTTAAATTAGAAAACATGAAATAGAGAATGGAAAAACAAGAAAACACAACATAGCAAATTGGAAAACTGAAATACCGGATTGGAAGTGAAAACAGAAAACAAGAAAACAAAAATAGAAACTCAGAAAACAGAAACATAAAAATGGAAACAGTTGGTAAACAAGCCCTAGAATACCCAAAAACATGCTCAAGAAAAATGCAAATTATCCACCAAGTCAAAGATGACGGAATACAATCATATTTGATGCGCCAAATAGCACAACTTGATTTATCAAAAAAACACTGAGAAAGAAAACTGAAAGAATAAGAAAAAATACTACATAATACATAACTAACCGTGTCATCATCTTGTAGCGGTTTATATACTCTTCCCCATAACCTCGACGCTCCATAAGCTGCAAAAAATATCCAGATTCCATAAGTGTGACTGATTCCACAAACTTGATAACTTCACAGAAGTTCGACAATGTAATCCCAAGGCCCAACTTTGAAAGTGCCAAAAGATTTATGGCACTGACTTTTTTGGACAGTAGGCCAGCAGGGTGACAAAAGAAAAGCAACACAACAAACCTTGAACAGATTGGCTTCCAAGTCTGACTGTGACCTGAAAGTTGTTAACATACCAGCAGATTCAGAGATCAACACAAAAAAATGAAGTTTAAGAGAAGTGATGATAAATAAAAATAACTTATCATTAATCAAAACTTATGAATAAATATACAGGAAAAAATATCATACACATCAAGAAGGGTGTTATCCACAAGAAGCTTTTTAAGTTCGAGAGCAATTTTAACTGCCACATGATTTGGTATCTGTAAATCAAGAAGCCTCCTTCAGTAATCCTTGATGTGATGCCAGAATGCTTTGGGCAATTTTTTTATAGATAAAAATTTAGTGTCCAAAAGCTAGGTAACTCACGACATTTAAGGTAAATCACATTGTGTGCAATTTCAGATTCATAACTTACTGGCTTACCACACATTTTCAACAAATCTCATGGTAAACCATTTCAGATTAGTCAGCACCTTATAGAGTTACAGAAAGACGACCATAACTAGAGCCTGATGCATATTTGGAATCATCAAAACCTTAGTTACTGTTTAGGAAGTAAAATGTTTTGAAAAGTTAAATTAACGATCATTTGGTGACATATTTTCTGGATTGTCTTTTATCAAAAACTAACATTATACTATGTGCTAAGAATTTTGTAAACGAATACAAAATTGAGATTATAACCTTAGTTGTAGATATTATGTTAATTAATTTATTAATAAAATGCATTTAAATTTTTTTTCTTTTTCATATTCAAGCAAGTCCTGCTGAATCGCAATTTGATCAACTTCGGCCACTCCTACCCTGTATTTTTATCAGTGACAGAGAAAAGAAGATTGAGAGCGAACCTTAGTGACAGTTAAGGTTCTACTGAGCAAAAACCTCGATAGAACATAATAATGATTGGCATTTTCACCCAACCATACTTTTACCTGAAAGTATATAAGTGAAACACTGAGAAATAAGAACCATTTGAATGAGAGAATAAGTTGATATGCATATGGGCCAGATATGGAAAGCTAGAACCTTGACGAAATCGTACTTGGAGGAAGCGTTGCGAGTGAAGAATCTAGCATTTGCGCCAGCTTCAGGTCCAGCGGTAACTGATGATTGCTCCTCGCCTTCATCGTCGCCGTCTGTGAATTTATCTCCATTTTCGCTAGGGCTACCAGCTTCTATTTCTCCCTCTGCCATCATTTTCTTTGAATTCTATTATCCGCTGACCGTAAAAAGGAAACGGCCGTGCTGAGCGCACCCCAATCAGGAATGGGCGCCCATTTTCACCCATTTTCACCATTGCTGGACAATTTTATCCTTGTTTCATCTTTTTGTTATGCCATTAAAAATTATTTGAGTAATAATTTTTTATTTATCTATGTTTTGTAAATACTCCCTCCGGTTCCAAAACAAATTAAGGAAATAAATTTGACTTTACTGTAAAGTACACTGTTGTGACACTGTTTAACACTGTTTTGCACTATTTGGCACTGTTTTGCATTGTTTTAATGTAGATAATTTGCCAAATAAGGAAAGGAGAAGAAGTGTGAAGTTTATTTTGAACCTACCCAAAAAGGAAAGTGTGAATTTGATTCGGGACCGGAGGAAGTATTAAAAATAAATTGAAATAAATATCTTTTCTAGTCATGTTTAAACTTGTATTGTGAATGAAGTACTTTTTTAGACTTATTTCAATCTAATACCAGACCGGATCAGGTTCAACTTAACTCAAAAACATATGTGTATCACATCGTTAATGACTATGATAGTAGACTAAAGTAACTAAACTAGTATATCAGACAAGCCTACACTTTACTGACAAGATTTTCCACCGGTCACGAAGACATGTTTCACGATGACATGCCAGTATGACGCAGTCAGCAATGGCGACACTCGTGGCAATAACAGTGACACTAGTAGTCATCGATAGTGACATAAAAATCAGGCAATGGCATAATATCAATTCAACAATAGTAATACAATTAATGTAATTGTGCTCCACATGTAAAAAGACAGTTAGTGCAATTTTTGTACTCCCTGCGTCCCAAATTGAGTTACAAAATTGATTTTTTGTCACACAAATTCATTTTATTCACTTAATTAGAATACTAATTTTTTATTTGAATTTTAATTTGAATTTTGTAATTGTATAGAGATTTTAAGTAGTTTCTAAATATGTAAATGTTAATTATTAGATTTGAATTAGTTATAAATAGGGAGAATTTAACTTTATTATTGGTTGATAAAAAATATTGACTTTGCAAAATACTTTGAAATGGAGGTAGTATCTAATTTTTATTTTTTTAATTTCAAGATATGTTTATATTTTTAATTATTTAATCTTGATATATAGATAATCAAAAGCACAAATAAGGCAAATAGGAGTAAGTAATAACTTATTTAATAATAACACATAATCTAAAATTTATTTTATATTTTTTGAAAATGAATAGATTTTTTAAAACATTACCCACTTTAAAAAATGTAGGGTGTTGAGAACTTTAGTGTGGGAAAAGCATATAGAATTTAGAACACCCAAAGAAAATAGGAGGGAAATTCAAAAAAGTAAAGTGTAACAAGGTCTACAATCAAATCCATAACACTATGGTTTAATGTGAAGTAATATTGTCCGATTGGAACATTTTTGCCTTGACTTTGACATTAAAATGAAGCATCATCACTACTGTTGCATTAAAATAAGCTACTTTGCGGGTCTTTTTACTATCTTTGTCCTAAAATAAATTCATCATTTCAGTTTAGTACACTTAATTGAGGTCAAATTCAACTCTTCCCTAATAAAATTTAAATTAATATAAATAACTGAAATTATCATATTTGAAACTAAACTAAAATAATGTTGAATCACACAATCAAATAAGAACTCTGCCAAAACAGAATTACTTGGGGTTATCATGGATCAACACAAATTTTGTCATGGTCTTGCACTAATTTTTTATGACCACACAATTTCCTCATTAATTTTGGCACAAATTCACTATTCTCGCCACACTCGCTTAGTCACAAAAATATAGTGTGAATTCGTGACAAAACTTTGTGTGAGTAAATGAGAAGTTGTTTTCAAAACTGTTATCTTCATCGGAATATGGTAATAATATGATAAGATCAGGTACTAAACTAAGTTTCACCGAACCATTTTAAATGTGAATTGAAAATCGTTTTAGAATAGAAATGGTATTATATTTCCAACTAGAACTTGAACCATTATTAATGGCGCAAGGCATAAGTAATTTTTTTTAATCATAGACCATAAAAAGTGTATGACGGTGCTAACGTCTTAATTCCTTTTTTTACCTTAACAAGTTGAATAATCGTGTTTAAAATTGTCAAAATGAACATAGAACATGACCAACAACGCACCTATGTATATGACTTGAATCTCAAACTATTTAATAATGTTTTGATTACAATTTTTTATTATTGACACTTGAATCAACCTGAATAAGGCTTATCCGGCTTGACCCATTTTATGTCCATCTATGCCCGATGCCCCGGAAATAGTTACAAGTCTAGCAATTATCATAGTCATTGTATAATATCGCAAAAGTATACTTATCTATGTATTGTAAGAGACTCATTTTAATATAATTAGTTTATTTACCCGGTTATCAATAGTTTAGCAATGGAAATAAAGTTCAAGTAAACTAAAGTGAATAAATGAATTAAACCCATGATTTCAATATCCATTACTATTCCCATATGATCAAGACGGATTTCGAGAGGATGTGTCATTAACCTGTGCAGCCACATCTTAATCCACAGGGACGGAAGATTGTAACGAAAAGCAGTTCTTCTCCTTTAGGTTACAAGAGAGAGCATGTAAACCCCGTACATATTGTTTAAATCCCCATACAGAGGATTGGGTTAGTTTTGGTGCTTTTTGTTTTATTTGATTTGGTTTGGAACGTTTGAACCAGATTAGATCAAAAAAATTCACTCCAATTACAAACATCATTGATTTCAAAAAGATTTCTGATTCGACCAACATGAAATGATATATGATAAGATAAGGTAAAAGGAAGATAAAAGATAAAATAAGATAAGAATATAAAGAAGATAAGAGTGATAAAAAGATAAGAAAGATAAAAATATAAAAGATAAGAAGATAAACAAGACAAAATATTATGTCAATCTTCCACACATGTATTTCCTACATCTCTAACTCATACCTAACTCATACCACGTATATGTCTCGGTAGGAATCTATTCATGTCTCCTTCTCGCTCATCTCCCAACCTCTCAGCAACTTATCTAACATGTGCATCACGCAATCTTCCACACACATGTTCAAATCACCGCAATCGAGATTTTTGCATCTCATCTTCAACACGCGCATCTCAAATGATTTTACTATTATGTCTACATATCAAACTCAACATGCACATATCAATCATGCTCATTCCTTGAAAGCGACATTGTTTCACTTCCTAACACTTTACGTCATAGAGTAATGCAAGCCTAATTGTTATCCGGTAAAACCTACCCTTTAGCGTAGTCGACATGCATCGATTACATAGAAAGTCCAATGAACTCTTCAAATTAATTCACCATTTTCTGATTTTATGAGATATATCTTCATTTAGTTCATCGTTTTCTGATCAAATTTTGAAAAAAAAATGATTTTCTTATTAAAACATGACAAGTGTGGGATAGGAGATAAAGAATATTAATTACTCATATTTTGGAAATTTAAAACTTGTACGCATAGAATCCATTTTTCAATCTTTATCTTGGACTTATCAACCTCATCATTCAATTTTTTTTATCAAACAATGAACTTTTAATATTATACGCATGAATTATGTAAGAATCAAAATAAGTATGATCAAAATCAGTTTCTTATTGAGTTGCCTGAATTTGGTGAAACTGACCAACTTGGTTATTTTTTTCGTAATTTTTGCTGTTTAATTAACAGAATATGTTTTATAGTACATATTTTTTCATAATTAAGAGCCTATTTGGTAACACTCAAATTGGTTAATATTTTGATATTTTACACAATTCAACATGTGACATCATAAGTTGCGTGTTTAGTAAAAAAGTTGATTGATAATATCGATGAGCAACAACAATGGGTTTAAAAAATTAGAGCATACCCGCTAGGGTTGTAAACGAACCGAATCGAGTCAAATAATGAGATTTTGTATTTGTATTTGTTTAATTTTTTTCGAATACGAATTCGAATTCAAATATGAAACGAATATTAATTTCGATTTGTATTTGTATTTGTTTAACAATATGAATAGTTAACGAATCATATACGAATATCAAATTGATTTGAGCATAGGTTAAATATGAGTCAAATATCATTCTAAAATAACTTTTCTTATACTATGTATTTTTATGTTGTAAATGCATGCTTTGACTTAATATGTATTTTTAGATTTTAAATTTAATGGATCAATACATTTTTAGATGTGCACAATATACTAAAGTGAATTAATTTTATAATTAATAAATATAAATCCATTCAAACTTTTTGAAATAAACACTAACACACACATCAGAAATTATAGTTATAATGTGTGAAATAAGTTGATAATTGTTTAAATCAAAGTCAAACAACTCTAATTTTATTTCTCAAATCGAATACATAGTTATTTGTATTGTATTTGAAAGACATTTGAACAAAAAAATGGTTTGTATTCATATTTATATTCTGATTTATCACAAATGGGCTTGGAATCTGTATGCAAAAGTGTATATATGGACTACATTTTGAGGGTATTGCTATCTTTTAAAAGTTATTATAGTGTTATTACTATTATTATTAATATTGACATTAGTATCACTGATGGATAGTGTACCCGGGGGTAGCTTATCCGAGGGGTTATTGCGGAGAATAACTAGAGAGAAGTCAGAGCAAATAAGTAAGAGAGAGAGTGTATATTCGATATGTATTAAGCGTGGTTTACAATGAGGGAAAGGGGTGCTATTTATAGTAGTAATAAATGCTAGATAAGGACACGTGTCAGTTTTCTGGTGGTCGAGGGGTCACCTCGACCGGGGTGGCACTGGCACTCGCATGTGGCTGCATTAAATGCGGTGGTTGGATGTGACGTTTGTACTTGGTACGGTGATCCAGGCGCATGTGAAGAGGATATTCTGTCGAGGTGGATGCCTTCGGCTGAAGGGTGTTGGGCTGAAGGCTCTTCTAACCGAGGGCTCTTACCTGCCGAGGGCTGCAGGTGCCGAAGGCTTGGTTTTCAAGCCTTGTTCTCCTGTGATGCCTCTTCTAACCGAGGGCTCCTACCTGCCGAGGGCTGCAGGTGCCAGA